GTGCGCCACCATGTCCGGCGCCAGTGTGACTCTTTTTTGTTTTTGTTTTTTTGGTACTGGGGATTGAACTTGGGTCCGCGCACTTGCGAGGCAGGCCACCAAACCACGGAGCTAAATCCCCGGCCCTCTAGTGTGACTCTTAACGTGTGATGTTTTTGAAAGTCTGAACTGCTCCCCCCGGCAGTTGTAATCAGTGCAGGAACCTCATCATTCTTCGCTGAAGGTATTTTCTATCTTTGGGATTTCCAGTGGACCACACCTGAGTGGTTACTGCCATAGACACTGCTTTCTTTCCACAGGAAGCTCACTCCAGACGCCTAGCCCTGAACAGTAACACAGAAAGAGCACAATTCACAACGACCTCTAAGAGTTGGCTTAACTAGAAAGTTTTCTGAGTTGCTTTACAAATACACATTTTATGGCAAGCATGGTATTGCAAGACTGTAATTCGAGGTTGGGAGGCTGAGGCAGGAGGCCAGCATAAGCTACCCAGAGACTGTCTCAAAACCAGAACAAAACAGACACAGACACTGGCTTGTGAGGACTGAGCAGGACTCCACCGGACAGTCTCCTGCGCCAGGAGGGAGGTGTGATCAGCTTTGGAAAAGACGCCAACAAGAGCTGCCATGTATGAAAGATTAGTTTACAAAAATTCCTCAGAATTTAGGGAGGCTGGTACTGTTTTACCCATGGACGTCCTGATCTAGGAAGAGAAGACCCCACCAGCCATCTTTAGAGTATATAGCGGCGGTATGGTCAGATTATGGAGCTCTTTGACCCTGCTAGGACCCTATAAAGGCAAAAAAATGTGCTTTTAGAGTGGTTCACCTTTCTCCCTTTCTCCTTGCCTTATCCAGTAACAGTAGGGAACTAGTGTCGAATTGAATAGTCATCAATTTCAGAAACTTTTCTGCAGCTCCCGAAAGTATATTCTGATGTTTGAAAACAGAAGCAGGCTTAGACCCTACTGATGAAATGTGAAGATATTGAAGATGTTCCCAGGAATACCCAGCCATTGGCTTTGGTGGTAGACTTCAGAGGAGATTCTGCTTGAATTGACCAGCATTGAACAGACAGCACCACTTGGGAGCACTTGCATGTGAGAGTGGGAGATTGGGCCCAACTCAGCAGGGCCTTCACACAGAGGACGTGGCTGCCTTCAGAATTAACTGGAAATGTCAATCCCTTGCATTTCAACAAAGATTTTGCAAAACACACCAAGTTCAGAAAGACAACTGTAGTACGCGGAAGTTTTGATAAATGGGCTAATCTCAGCTGTCTTGGGTACTAAAATGCTGGGGGTCTAGTTGTGTATTTCTTTCTCAGGAAATTAACTTTCCAGCTCCTTTATATATTGGAGAGGTTGTTTTGGCTTCTGCACAAAAAAATAGATTAAAGCATTTTGTTGCTTTTATTGCAGTGTCATGTACCATAAGTTAAAAAAAAAACAAAACTGTTATGGAAAGCTGGGTTAAAGTTGTGCTCCCAGAAGATCCCAAATTCTTAAATATGTGTTGCAAGTTCAAACACCAGCTGTTATGAAAGAAGCACCTGAGCAAGTGGGCTGCTGTCACTAAGTTTGGCTGATAGACCCTGAAGCCAAGTTAGGGAAGGGGAACAGATGTGTTCAAATGTCTACGTCCAGTTTGGCTTTATGCTTCACCCAACTTGATCATTGCATGATTTCATCATTTATATTGGTTTTTGTAAGTTGAAAATCTGAGGCAATTGATCTGAAGTTCTACTTCTAGGATTTCAAACCTAATTAGATTTGCAGTTACTAATACTGCCCTGCATCTGTGTAGACTTTCCTCCCTGAATTTCTAACTGTCCAGCACTTAGTTACTGAGGGGAACAAGGACGCTGAGTTGTCTCTAAACACCTGCTCTTTACCAGTCAATATCCTTAGATCCTTTTCTCAGCTGTTTCTGGGTCAAGCTGTAGTGTGACTTGTTATTGTCTACACTGAGGTGGTGTGCTGCTCAGCCTGCTCTGGGACTGGCCTCTTGGGTGGGTATTCTGCAGTCAGAGCAGGGCGTATGTGCACACTTAAAACTCAGGTCATGCAAGCTCTGTCTCATCCATGAAATAGCGAGTGCACCGTGCAGGAGTGTTGTTGAAAACGACAGGCATAAACCTCAGCACCAGAGCTGGTGTGAGAACTCACTGCTATCGTCCATCTCCTGGATTTAAACCCAACTGGTCTTTAAACAGGTCATAGGCCAATTTTCAGGTTGTCAGCCAATCTATTAGTACTTTTAAACTGGAGTAGAATCTTGGATACAAAGTTTCTAATCTTAACCACATTCTTTTATTTTTCCCTTGAAAATGTGGGTCTGTCAGTCTACCTCACATTATATAAATATCTGCCTATTATGTGTGTATGGGGAGCGACTAAGAAATAAGACTACAGAGAAAAACAAAACCCACCCACAAATATGTACACAGTTCACACCACATATCAATATAACTTCGGAATTCAGGAAAACAGAATGGAGTGTTTAATTAATAAGGCCCAACCTCTGTATCTTTCTTTATTATACAGCTAAAATATCCCAGGCACCTGAAAATTTTTATAAACAACCAGGAAAAAAAGGAAACTTCAGTTTTATAAAATATCTTCACACATGAAGTGGCACAGTTTGTATCTAGGCCCCCAAAGCTTCATGCTCTCGGGGGCCAGGCTGTAGGAGGTGGACAGTTCAGAGTTGGGGTGGAGCCTGAGGGAAGCAAGTCCTGGGGCACAGCTGGGCCTGGGAAGGGGTGGGGCCCACCCCCTGCTTCCCCTGACTGCTCTGCACACCTGGGCTCCCTGGCTGGGGGCTGCCCCCTCCCCCCGAGCTGCTTGGAGCCAGGCAAGTGGGACTGAAACCTCTACAGACAGCCAAAACAAACCTCTCCACCTTAGAATCAAGTTACTTTAAAAAGTATTTCACATGTCACATGAGGAAATAAAATCCTTACATTTACCCTGACGTGTGAACATAATTTATCAAGATTGAGTAAACTTAATACATACACATTAAAATAGTAAATCAAAACAAATACCAAGATGACAGTAAAAACAGTAAAGCAAGGTACCTTTGAATTGCAAACTAAAAACTGGCTGAAGAGAACTGGTCCCAACACTCCACATTTCACACAGTTCGTGACAGAAAACAAGAAAACAAGTGACAGAAGGGACATGTACACCTGTGACACATGGGTCACAACAGGGATGTGTAACTACAAGAGAAGTGAACCACCAGGGAGTGTGACGGCCACTGCAGCTGTGGGGAGCAGATGAGGAGGGATCAGGGGAGCAGCTTGGTGCAGTGGTACACACTGGAGGCTGAAGGAGGACTGAGTCTGAGTTCTGCTGTCCAGAATGAAACTGTCTCAAAACACACAGATCCTACTGTATCTTCTTCACAAGAAAGGTCCAGCACTCGGCACACTGGTCACCCTTAGAGCTGTACAATCATTACCCCCAGAACCAAGAGGCGCTAGGTCAGCCCCGTTCCATCTGAATTAACAGCCCGGCTGCACAGTGAGTTCTCCACACCCCCCGAACTTCTCACAGTTTGATTTGCAAAGTGATCATGCAGCCGGGAGGAAATGAAATGCTCTGAGCATGAGCATGATGTCACTACTCCTGTACGACGAAGCACGGCCAACTCAGCTAACAACCACTCTCAGGGTCAGTGTTAAGAGTTCCTCAGGGCTGGCACTGCTGAGTGTGATTAGAATGCGAAGTAACGTGAAAGAAAACAGTGAACACAATTTAAGATTTATCAACAGTGATGACAAAGTGTAGATCATATTTATACTAAGTGAATAGACATGTACAACTGACACATGAGGGCATGAAAAAGGCCAATACTTAAAGCCAGTTCACAAAACAGTTCACAAGCAGGCTGTAAGTGAAAGTACAAAGGTTTTTAAAAAGACACCCTTAAAGGGTTTTAAAATATAGTTTAATAGAGGGCAGGGATGTAGCTCAGTGATGCCGTGTTTGCCTTGCAAGCACAAGGTCCAGAGTTTGATCCCCGGTACCAAAAAAACATCTACTGGAACATGGTACAAATGACAGCACTGAGCAACACTTCACCATTAACAGCCACCACTCAGATCACTGGTACCTTCATGCCATGTGCATGATGTTTATGGCATCATTCTATAAATTATTAGGTCCACAACTTAGAAGTCTTAATTTTGATCAATAATTACATTTAAGTTCACACACTCATTTCTACAAATTACATCTTCACCGTGGTGGGATTTAAACAGCTGTGAAACATACTCATCAGCTCGACAGGAAAAGCCCAGGTCATGAGAGGCCCAAGTGATGAAGAAAACCCAGCGCTGCCCCACAGAAAGCCTGAAGGTGATGATGACCTCCAGGCCTCTGTGGCTAGCAGACGTCTGGCCACCCCATGAGGACTTGGTTGCTGGTGTTCTCGCCCCGTGGGCCACTCTCCTCTGCCCAGCTGACAGCTGTCTCAGGCAGGCTCTCCCAGACTCACACTGGCGGATAGATTCACACTGCCATGCAGGCCCAGGACTCGGCCCATGGTAACTGTATAGAAAAGTCACGGTCCCAAATATGAAAAAATGTTTTCCTGCCAGATCATCAACAACTTTTATAAACCTGGGAACATTTGCAAGCAACAACAACAACAACAAAAAAATCCTTTTAATGGTTATATTTTGAACAGATACAAGTAAAAAGCCTCTTCCTTCCCCAGTACGGAGTGGGGGCATTGTCCTGAACTCAGGTGCTGAGAAACTGCAGGGACACAGTCCCGCCTGACCTGTCCCACCCCCACCAGAGCTGCTGCCCACGCCTAGGGTCTCACCTCCAGTCTCACCTCCGGCTCTAGCTTTCTTCACACCCAAGGGTTCCGAGTCTTCCAAGCACCTCTTTCGATTTGTTCCCAAACTAATGCGACTGGGAAACACGTTCTCATGCCCCCGGCTCACGGTGCCATTATGACAGAAACGGTTCAGGTGGCCACTCTGGAGGCTCAAGAGAAACTGGGTACACTCTTGGAAGCCCTGGGTTTGGGCAATGTCTGCTGCCGTCAGGCCGCTGGCATTTCTCAGGCTGCACAACACAAAAACACCAGATTACCATCCGTTCACATCCCAGCCTGGACTCTGCTCTGCCGAACTGACTATCTATCTGAAGGTGACACAAACGTCAACAAATTTACAGTAAATCTTCATTCAAGAAGCAGTTAATCATCCTGGCTCCATAACTAACTTCTCTAAAGCATATTCAATTTCTAATGAAAATTTGGGATAGTAATTTTAAAAATCAGCATACTAAACTTTTTTCAAAAGGCATCTTCCTGTTTAACTTCTCAAAATCATGTTTTATGTAAAGTCTGAAGAATCTCAAATTATGCTAACTTCAGACTTCATTGAAACTAGTCTATGCTAGCTGCGATTACTTTTAATAACCCATCCTTTAGCCTCAGTAAAATCATAGCAAAACAAACATGTACTGAAATTGCCCATGGCATTTAGAGCAACCAGCTTCCCAAAGCGCATCTCGGCTTAGCAGCAAGCCAGGTTCTGTGCTGACATGTGGCACTATGAGTGAAGTACCGGCGCCCTGTCCACTCACCATCCCAACAGCCGCGTTTTAGTCTGGGTTTTGGCCTTGCTTAGGAAAACCTGGAGGAGTATTACATGCTGACACTCTGCAGCATCTGGGCGGGGGGTTTCCTCTGAAAGACTTTCCATGCTGTCCTAGGAATGCACCCCTCCCCTCACTCAGCTAATGACACTCGAGAAAAGCCTCTGGCTCCAGCAGCAACTATGACTCAAATTAAAGCAGGAAGTACTGGCAAAATTCAAGTGCAAGACCTGAATAAAACAGAAGAGAACTGGCTGGACTTGAAGGCACAGGACATGGAATTAAATGAAGGGACAAAATCAGCTCCAGTCTGCCCATCCCCAACACCCCTGCAGAGCAAGAACCAGCTGCGGTGGACAGCTAGATGCGGAGGGGCTCCCACGCCTGCCCAGCCTGCCGCCCCACCCACACCGCAGAGGCCACGCGATGCAGGCCTTGGCTCCATGGCCTCCGAGTTACCGCAGGACCACTCAGAAAGCTGGTTTCCTTCCTGGGGACAATCAGCACCACACACACACACACACACACACACACACACAAGCTCTACCTCAGGAATGAGATACTTAAAGGGCTTTGGACACTCACTCAACATGTCTCCTGATAAAGACACAGTTATGTTTGGAAGAAAAAGCCAAACCCAATTTAATGAGCTATACAGAGACAAGACTTGAGAAATCAAAAAGATGTTCTTAAAAATAAATGGTATGCTGCACAAGATGAGGAATTAACATTGACATCTTAATTTGCCTTTAGAATGCAAAGCTGTAAACTCTGATAAATATTCATCTTGCATTTTCTTGATATATAAATTAAATGAAAAGAAACAAACTTTGGGCAGAGTGAACTCATGCTAATTACACGTCCCAAACAAAGCCCACTTGCTACTGAAGTACAATACAGTTCAAACAAAATTGTGGGCTTCATTTTCAGAGGGTACCAGAGTAAGGACAGCCTAGACAAGTTCACTCTGTCAAGAAACGAAGACCAAGAACATAAGCAAAGTTCATAAAATGATCATTTTAGCAGGCAGCACAGTCTGGCTCTGCAAAACCAAATACAGAAACAATGAGGTGCCATAAGACACACGAGACAAATAAAAGCCCTGACAACAGCGAACAGTAGTGAGCATGCTGCAGTGAGTCAGAGATCAGAAAAGCACAGCCAACAGCTTTTAAAAAATGGCACTGATGGGCAGGAAAACGTAGGCACAGAATGGACATGGCAACGTGAGGAGACCACCTTGGACTGTGACGTGGCCAGGTCTCCCTACCTCCCTCCTCACCGTGCAGGGCTCCACATGCAACTTAGACCAGAGCCCCAGAGTCAGCACAATCTCCCACACTCACTGTAACCAAGGGATGAGCTCCCAAGCAGGACCAAGGCCAACTTGCACTGTGTACTCCTAGTTGTGCCTCTACCCACCAGCTGCACCACCACTAGGGTCACACTTAAGAGTGGCAGGGCTCTAGGACAAGTTTGCCTGGGACACAGGCACTTGGAGGACCTGAAAAGATTCCATCTGCACCACTGCAGAGCCAGGACAGAAAGCAGAATCCCTTCTCTGCTCCTGGTGACCATGCCTCATCCTCATGTACACGGTCCAGCCTGGGCAGCAGCTCCCACCTCAACTCATCACCCTTCCCTGGCCCTCGGCTGCAGGGAGACTCTCAGTCCCAACTGTGCCGCTCCCGAGCACGAAGTGTCTAACAAGCCTTCGAGAACAATGAAATCTGAATGTAATTTTATGTGTTAGGAGACACTATTCTCTGAACCATCTAAAAGAATTGAAAGACCATTCTTAGCTTATAAGCCACATGAGAAATAGGCAGGGGCTAGATGTGCTGGGTAATACACAGCCAGGCTGATGGCATTGATGTCTTCTACTCTCGATGGTTACACCTAAAAAGTCTGTTAGTTTCACACATCATCCAATCTATTAATAGACAATTTTTAAAAAGTTGTCAAAAGCATTAGATAAAAAATTAAAAAAAAAAAAAAAAAAAAAAAAAAACCAAGGT